ACAGTGGGATTGAAAACTGAAATTTCACAACAAATTTGGTTCACAATATCCTTCCTCTGCGCGATGTTTTTAATTTAGACCCTCAGTTATGACCTTAGTTAGTTAGTTAGTTAGTTAGTTAGTTAGTTAGTTAGTTAGTTAGTTAGTTAGTTAGTTAGTTAGTTAGTTAGTTAGTTAGTTAGTTAGTTAGTTAGTTAGTTAGTTAGTTAGTTAGTTAGTTAGTTAGTTAGTTAGTTAGTTAGTTAGTTAGTTAGTTAGTTAGTTAGTTAGTTAGTAGTTAGTTAGTTAGTAGTTAGTTAGTTAGTTAGTAGTTAGTTAGTTAGTTAGTAGTTAGTTAGTTAGTTAGTAGTTAGTTAGTTAGTTAGTTAGTTAGTAGTTAGTTAGTTAGTTAGTTAGTTAGTAGTTAGTTAGTAGTTAGTTAGTTAGTTAGTTAGTTAGTTAGTTAGTTAGTTAGTTAGTTAGTTAGTAGTTAGTTAGTTAGTTAGTTAGTTAGTTAGTTAGTTAGTTAGTTAGTTAGTTAGTTAGTTAGTAGTTAGGTTAGTTAGTTAGTTAGTTAGTAGTTAGTTAGTTAGTTAGTTAGTAGTTAGTTAGTTAGTTAGTTAGTTAGTTAGTAGTTAGTTAGTTAGTTAGTTAGTTAGTTAGTTAGTTAGTTAGTTAGTTAGTTAGTAGTTAGTTAGTTAGTTAGTTAGTTAGTTAGTTAGTTAGTTAGTTAGTTAGTAGTTAGTTAGTTAGTTAGTTAGTTAGTTAGTTAGTTAGTAGTTAGTTAGTTAGTTAGTTAGTTAGTTAGTTAGTTAGTTAGTTAGTTAGTTAGTTAGTTAGTTAGTTAGTTAGTTAGTTAGTTAGTTAGTTAGTTAGTTAGTTAGTTAGTAGTTAGTTAGTTAGTTAGTTAGTTAGTTAGTAGTTAGTTAGTTAGTTAGTTAGTAGTTAGTTAGTTAGTTAGTTAGTTAGGTTAGTTAGTTAGTTAGTTAGTTAGTTAGTTAGTAGTTAGTTAGTTAGTTAGTTAGTTAGTTAGTTAGTTAGTTAGTTAGTTAGTTAGTTAGTTAGTTAGTTAGTTAGTTAGTTAGTTAGTTAGTTAGTTAGTAGTTAGTTAGTTAGTTAGTTAGTAGTTAGTTAGTTAGTTAGTTAGTAGTTAGTTAGTTAGTTAGTTAGTTAGTTAGTTAGTTAGTTAGTTAGTAGTTAGTTAGTTAGTTAGTTAGTTAGTTAGTTAGTTAGTTAGTTAGTTAGTTAGTAGTTAGTTAGTTAGTTAGTTAGTTAGTTAGTTAGTTAGTTAGTTAGTTAGTTAGTTAGTTAGTAGTTAGTTAGTTAGTTAGTTAGTTAGTTAGTTAGTTAGTTAGTTAGTTAGTTAGTTAGTTAGTTAGTAGTTAGTTAGTTAGTTAGTTAGTTAGTTAGTTAGTTAGTTAGTTAGTTAGTTAGTTAGTTAGTTAGTTAGTTAGTTAGTTAGTTAGTTAGTTAGTTAGTTAGTTAGTTAGTTAGTTAGTTAGTTAGTTAGTTAGTTAGTTAGTTAGTTAGTTAGTTAGTTAGTTAGTTAGTTAGTTAGTTAGTTAGTTAGTTAGTTAGTTAGTTAGTTAGTTAGTTAGTTAGTTAGTTAGTTAGTTAGTTAGTTAGTTAGTTAGTTAGTTAGTTAGTTAGTTAGTTAGTTAGTTAGTTAGTTAGTTAGTTAGTTAGTTAGTTAGTTAGTTAGTTAGTTAGTTAGTTAGTTAGTTAGTTAGTTAGTTAGTAGTTAGTTAGTTAGTTAGTTAGTTAGTTAGTTAGTTAGTTAGTTAGTTAGTTAGTTAGTTAGTAGTTAGTTAGTTAGTTAGTTAGTTAGTTAGTTAGTTAGTTAGTTAGTTAGTTAGTTAGTTAGTTAGTTAGTTAGTTAGTTAGTTAGTTAGTTAGTTAGTTAGTTAGTTAGTTAGTTAGTTAGTTAGTTAGTTAGTTAGTTAGTTAGTTAGTTAGTTAGTTAGTTAGTTAGTTAGTTAGTTAGTTAGTTAGTTAGTTAGTTAGTTAGTTAGTTAGTTAGTTAGTTAGTTAGTTAGTTAGTTAGTTAGTTAGTTAGTTAGTTAGTTAGTTAGTTAGTTAGTTAGTTAGTTAGTTAGTTAGTTAGTTAGTTAGTTAGTTAGTTAGTTAGTTAGTTAGTTAGTTAGTTAGTTAGTTAGTTAGTTAGTTAGTTAGTTAGTTAGTTAGTAGTTAGTTAGTTAGTTAGTTAGTTAGTTAGTTAGTTAGTAGTTAGTTAGTTAGTTAGTTAGTTAGTTAGTTAGTTAGTTAGTTAGTTAGTTAGTTAGTTAGTTAGTTAGTTAGTAGTTAGTTAGTTAGTTAGTTAGTTAGTTAGTTAGTTAGTTAGTTAGTTAGTTAGTTAGTTAGTTAGTTAGTTAGTTAGTTAGTTAGTTAGTTAGTTAGTTAGTTAGTTAGTTAGAAAATTCTATATTACCCTACAGTGACCTCAAGTAAATACATTTGTATACATAAGTATGTACAAATTTGTTTGTTTATTTATTGTATGTGTTTATTTCGTGGTAGTTGCAATGCTTTAAAGTTCCTTTTTACCTACATACAAACATACACATATATATATGTGTCAATGTATTTCAGCAGCATATTTCCTCTTTAAGCTCTCACACTGTAAATACACCAGCAGATTTTCCCTCACATTTTTTTAACATTTTCTCACTGAAGTAAAATACAAAAAATCTTTATTTACAAATGGGATAAACTAAGGAGCGAAAAACAAGGAACTGTAAGAAAAGACAAATAAAATATAAGTAATAAAAACAACAACTAAAACACTTAACTCGGTAGATGAAGAGATTTTCTTGTAAATTAAAAAGGTGCTTTTATCAGCAGCATTCTGCAACAGGATGCACAATCGTATTTCCTGTCCTTTTGCTTTTCTCAAGAAAACAATGTATTTATTAAAAAACCATTTAAAAGACCTCTTAAGAATTCTGTTGAAATAATATTGTATTCCTGTTAGGAGTACGATAAACTTTAGCAGTTGGAGTATATGATAGTAGGGTATTGTTTTGTGTTGTTTTGGTACAAATAAAATTGTAGTTTTTGTGCAAATGACATTGAAAGTATATAGTTAAATAAAAGTTAAAAACTAACAGTTCTCAAAATGTGTAATTGAATTTCTTGTTGAGATCAGATACTAAATTAAATTGAAAATAAGTAAATGTTTATAGTTCAGTTCTTGTTCAGTTCTAGTTCAGTTCTAGTTCAGTTCTAGTTCAGTTCTAGTTCAGTTCTAGTTCAGTTCTAGTTCAGTTCTAGTTCAGGTTCTAGTTCAGTTCTAGTTCAGTTCTAGTTCAGTTCTAGTTCAGTTCTAGTTCAGTTCTAGTTCAGTTCTAGTTCAGTTCTAGTTCAGTTCTAGTTCAGTTCTAGTTCAGTTCTAGTTCAGTTCTAGTTCAGTTCTAGTTCAGTTCTAGTTCAGTTCTAGTTCAGTTCCAGTTCAGTTCTAGTTCAGTTCCAGTTCAGTTCTAGTTTAGTTCTAGTTCAGTTCTAGTTCAGTTCTAGTTCAGTTCTAGTTCAGTTCAGTTCTAGTTCAGTTCTAGTTCAGTTCTAGTTCAGTTCTAGTTCAGTTCTAGTTCAGTTCTAGTTCAGTTCTAGTTCAGTTCTAGTTCAGTTCTAGTTCAGTTCTAGTTCAGTTCTAGTTCAGTTCTAGTTCAGTTCTAGTTCAGTTCTAGTTCAGTTCTAGTTCAGTCTAGTTCAGTTCTAGTTCAGTTCTAGTTCAGTTCTAGTCAGTTCTAGTTCAGTTCTAGTTCAGTTCTAGTTCAGTTCTAGTTCAGTTCTAGTTCAGTTCTAGTTCAGTTCTAGTTCAGTTCTAGTTCAGTTCTAGTTCAGTTCTAGTTCAGTTCTAGTTCAGTTCTAGTTCAGTTCTAGTTCAGTTCTAGTTCAGTTCTAGTTCAGTTCTAGTTCAGTTCTAGTTCAGTTCTAGTTCAGTTCTAGTTCAGTTCTAGTTCAGTTCTAGTTCAGTTCTAGTTCAGTTCTAGTTCAGTTCTAGTCAGTTCTAGTTCAGTTCTAGTTCAGTTCTAGTTCAGTTCTAGTTCAGTTCTAGTTCAGTTCTAGTTCAGTAGTTCAGTTCTAGTTCAGTTCTAGTTCAGTTCTAGTTCAGTTCTAGTTCAGTTCTAGTTCAGTTCTAGTTCAGTTCTAGTTCAGTTCTAGTTCAGTTCTAGTTCAGTTCTAGTTCAGTTCTAGTTCAGTTCTAGTTCAGTTCTAGTTCAGTTCTAGTTCAGTTCTAGTTCAGTTCTAGTTCAGTTCTAGTTCAGTTCTAGTTCAGTTCTAGTTCAGTTCTAGTTCAGTTCTAGTTCAGTTCTAGTTCAGTTCTAGTTCAGTTCTAGTTCAGTTCTAGTTCAGTTCTAGTTCAGTTCTAGTTAAGTTCTAGTTCAGTTCTAGTTCAGTTCTAGTTCAGTTCTAGTTCAGTTCTAGTTCAGTTCTAGTTCAGTTCTAGTTCAGTTCTAGTTCAGTTCTGGTTCTGTTCTAGTAATCATATAATTCTAAATATTTGCAGGATATTAATAAATTTATATTTTGCATGTTGAGATGTTTAAATATTCACAAATGTTTTAAACTCACACCTTAGAACTGAAATAATTGAATAACTAATTTAAAAATTTAGCAACAATATAAGCAAAAATATTTTTATTGTAGTAGTGAGTGGGAAAAAACAGAAAATTTATCTTTTTTTCATACATTTATAAAGTTATACAAATTTTACTCTATTTAGATTAACACGCAAAGGTAGCCTTGGGACATAAAATCCCACTAGATTTGTTTGCTTTAAATTTTATTGATATAAAGTTACATATATAAAAAGTCATGTGTGGTAGTAAACATTTTCTGTTTAAGCATACACTGTATTAGTATTTATTTCATGTATAAACTTTAAAGCATTTTAAATACAACAAAATTTAACTTGTTTTTAACAATAAAAATCATTTCTTTTAACATAAAAATTCATTGTTTTACTAATCGCCATTTTTTACCAAAATTTTTTCTCTTCATACTTTTTTCCTTCAGGCAACAGCACGAGAAAAAATCGTAAAATCTAGAAAAAACTATAGAAAAATATTAAAGTGAAAAACTAAATCAATAAAGTGCAAAATAAAAAAAATAAATAAAACACTTTAAAAAATTTATAAGCAAAAAGAGTGAGAAACTCTAAAAAATTTACTAAAGTGTAGAAAGAAAATTGGAAAAGAGCATATTTGAAATTTAATAGTTTAAGAGGAATAAACTTAAAGGGAAATTGAAAAAATTATAAAGAGCAGCCAAAGCAGCCAGAAAAGCAAAACAAAATTTTCATAATTAAGAAGTTAACATAATGTTAAGTTCGCTTGATGCATTAGCTAGTAAAATATCACCTGGCTCAGGAAACAAATCTCCGTCCCAGCAGCAACTACAACAACAGCAACAGCAAACAACTCAACAACAGTTGTCACCAACAACTTACTATCAACAGGAGTGCATAGACAATCAACAGCAGCAGCAGCAATCATCTCATACTCATTCTTTACGTTTAAACGGTAATCATTACAATGTTGGTGGCTTGGATAGCAATGGAAACAAATTATGTCACATCACTCACAATACCATACATCCCTATCACAAACAACCGAATTCACCAAACGGCAGCCACAGTAACAACAACAACACCAGCAGCAACCACCACCATCACCACAATCATAGCACGAACCTTGCCAACAGTTTGCTGCAACAGCAAACAAAGTTGGCAACGTATACAACATCATCGACCCCACCAACGACACCGCTATCGGCCTCATCTCTCTCACCCCAAGAATGCCTGCAACAACAACATGAATTGTTTCAACAACAGCTGCAACAACGTCAACAGAGTTTGCAACAACAGCAGCTGCAGCATCAACGCCAACAACAATCACTATCGTCAGCTCCATTGTCGCCAACAACAACATCCTCCCATTCATACGATGAAAATGATTCCCAGCATGAGTTTAGCAGTTGTCTGAAGGAAAAGTAAGTAAAAATTCATTCATATCTCTCTCTATACATATTCAGTCTCTATGTTGTTGTAGTTTTTGTAATTGGATACAAAGTTGTTGTTTTTATTTTTTCCTGCTCATCTCTACTTTAAAAGATTTTCAGTACTCCTTATTACTCACATTTCCTCACTTCCTCTCCATCACAAATTTGTTAAACTTTTCATGTGTTTTCTTTTTTAAGACACAGAAAGTAGGAGGGAGAGAGCGAGGTGTTGTTGTGTAAGTGTTTATAAATGGATGCATGTTATCCTGTTTCCTGGGTTTCCTTTGTGTTCAACGCTCATAACAATTTACTAATTTTATTATTTGCTGATTTTTCTTTTTGTTCTTATTTTTTTTAAAATCCTATAATGAGAGAAAATTTAATAAATTTTTTCTTTATACTTAAATTTTTGTTGTGTGGGAGAGGGAATAATAGAGAACGAGAAAAAGGGGAGAAAACAACCATACGTTTGCACTCGTTAACATGAATAGCTGCAATTTTATGCGTTGAAAAGTGAATCATGATCAACACGTTGGTATTTCAGTATAATAAACTCGTTCATTTTAAAGCAAAAAAGGGTGAAAAAAAAATATTTTTTTGTTAAATTTTATTTTAGGAGATAAATTTAATAAACATCTTAAAATACATTATTCTTTTTAAATAAATTTTGATAACTAATTTCAAACATTTTATTTAAAAACTATTCGTATTCATAATCAAATTTTAACGCATAAACCATTGATAAATCAAAATGCCAATTAGGAAAAATATAAGGAAATTCAATGAAAATTTGAACTGCAACTATATCGAAAGCTTTCACTATAATGAAAGTTTTATTGAAAATCTTCATAGAACTAAACCTTGCTAGTATACCTTCATTAGAAAGAATCTTAGAGCTGAAATTGACTATTCAAAAACTTCTATGCATAGAACATTTCATCAAAAATTTTCTCTAGAATGAACACTTTATCGAACAACTTCTAGGAAGAGATTTGATCGGAAAAATTCTTTAGAGAGAAAATATAGACGAAGATTTTCTTAAATGAGAAAATTTAATACAAATAACCAGACCTTACTAGACCATATACTAGTCAATAGAATAGACTATAGAATATACCATACACTTGACTAAGGATTGGACTTTCGACTGAACTTATATACTACAACATAGACTCGATTAAAGACTAGACTATAGACACGAATATAGACTATACTATATATTAGACTATAGACTAGACTATAGACTAGACTATTGACTAGACTATAGACTAGACTATAGACTAGACTGTAGACTAGACTAAAGACTAGACTAAAGATTAGACTATAGACTAGACTATAGACTAGACTATAGACTAGACTATAGACTAGACTATAGACTAGACTATAGACTAGACTATACTGACTATAGACTAGACTATAGACTAGACTATAGACTAGACTATAGACTAGACTATAGGACTAGACTATAGACTAGACTAGACTAGACTATAGACTAGGACTATAGACTAGACTATAGACTAGACTATAGGACTAGACTATAGACTAGACTATAGACTAGACTATAGACTAGACTATAGACTAGACTATAGCCTTAGCTAGACTAGACTATAGACTAGACTATAGACTAGACTATAGACTAGACTATAGACTAGACTATAGACTAGACTATAGACTAGACTATAGACTAGACTATAGACTAGACTATAGACTAGACTATAGACTAGACTATAGACTAGACTATAGACTAGACTATAGACTAGACTATAGACTAGACTATAGACTAGACTATAGACTAGACTATAGACTAGACTATAGACTAGACTATAGACTAGACTATCTAGACTATAGACTAGACTATAGACTAGACTATAGACTAGACTATAGACTAGACTATAGACTAGACTATAGACTAGACTATAGACTAGACTATAGACTAGACTATAGACTAGACTATAGACTAGACTATAGACTAGACTATAGACTAGACTATAGACTAGACTATGGATTATAGACTAGACTATAGACTAGACTATAGACTAGACTATAGACTAGACTAGACTAGACTAGACTAGAAGACTATAGACTAGACTATAGACTATAGACTAGACTATAAACTAGACTATAGACTAGACTATAGACTAGACTATAGACTAGACTATAGACTAGACTATAGACTAGACTATAGACTAGACTATAGACTAGACTATAGACTAGACTATAGACTAGACTATAGACTAGACTATAGACTAGACTATAGACTAGACTATAGACTAGACTAGACTAGACTAGACTATAGACTAGACTATAGACTAGACTATAAACTAGACTATAGACTAGACTATAGACTAGACTATAGACTAGACTATAGACTAGACTATAGACTAGACTATAGACTAGACTATAGACTAGACTATAGACTAGACTATAGACTAGACTATAGACTAGACTATAGACTAGACTATAGACTAGACTATGGATTATAGACTAGACTATAGACTAGACTATAGACTAGACTATAGACTAGACTATAGACTAGACTATAGACTGACTATAAACTGGACTATAAACTAGACTATAGACTAGACTATAGAACTAGATATAGACTCGACTATAGACTAGACTATAGACTAGACTATAGACTAGACTATAGACTAGACTATAGACTAGACTATGACTATAGACTAGACTATAGACTAGACTATAGACTAGACTATAGACTAGACTATAGACTAGACTATAGACTAGACTATAGACTAGACTATAGACTAGACTATAGGACTAGACTATAGACTAGACTATAGACTAGACTATAGACTAGACTATAGACTAGACTATAGACTAGACTATAGACTAGACTATAGACTAGACTATAGACTAGACTATAGACTAGACTATAGACTAGACTATAGACTAGACTATAGACTAGACTATAGACTAGACTATAGACTAGACTATAGACTAGACTATAGACTAGACTATAGACTAGACTATAGACTAGACTATAGACTAGACTATAGACTAGACTATAGACTAGACTATAGACTAGACTATAGACTAGACTATAGACTAGACTATAGACTAGACTATAAACTAGACTATAGACTAGACTATAGACTAGACTATAGACTAGACTATAGACTAGACTATAGACCAGACTATGGATTATAGACTAGACTATAGACTAGACTATAGACTAGACTATAGACTAGACAATAGACTAGACTATAGACTAGACAATAGACTAGACAATAGACTAGACTATAGACTAGACTATAGACTAGACTATTGGCTAGACTATAGACTAGACAATAGACTAGACTGTAGACTAGACAATAGACTAGACTATAGACTAGACTATAGACTAGATTATTGACTAGACTATTGACTAGACTATTGACTAGACTATAGACTAGACTATAGACTGGACTATAGATTAGACTATAGACTGAACTATAGACTAGACTGTAGACTAGATTAAAGACTAGACTAGACTATAGACTAGACTATAGATTAGACTATAGACTAGACTATAGACCTTATACTAGATCAAAAGTCCTTCGTCTTTATTTGGTTGTGTTGTTTAAACATTGTTTACATTACATTTTCTAAAAAACAGCATTTTTAAATTTCATTAAAACATTTTATAATTCTTCCCTCCATCGTAATAAATTTACGTGTTACAATAAAATATACATATGTACATTATAATTTTAAAGTAAAAATCCTTTTTTGACAACTTTCCACATGCAAGCAACTCGTTATTTAGCTAAAGGGAAAAAATAACGTGACTTTAAATACCTAAATGTGTAAGTTAAGCAAATAAATAATTGTAGATATTACAAAGAAAATTCTAATTAAATTAACTTTAGTTTTTTAATTAAAGTTAAGTTAAAATTAAATAACGTTTCTTTACAAAAACCCTAATCAGTACCGCAATTCAGTAACTTTTTAACTACAAAATTTTGTCGTTAAATAGTATAATTTCGTAAGTTAACAATAATTGTCGTTATGTGGTATTCTGATTTTTATTTCACCGATTTTTTTTGTTAAACAAAATCATTAGTTAACGAAAAGTATCGGCAATGTAACGACAAATAAAAAGTTCACGTTAATAATTTTATATTTTAAAAATATTTCAATACAAAACTTTTGACATTCTCATATTTTTCCGATATTTGTCGTTAAAATATTCTAAGTTCGTTAAAAAGTTACAGAATTGAAAATTCGTTAATGCAACCGATGTTTGTCGTTACTTTACGATATCGGTAGTTAAAATTATAAAATTACAGAATTGCGGTACAGAAGTCAAAATCATTTATATGTTTTCATTTTATATCTGTAATTAATTTAATTTAAGTAATTTTACCAAAAATTAAATAATAGTTTCTGCTGTATATCATTTGCAATTTGCCTCAACTTTTGTTTTTATTATTTGTCTGCAAATTGCTTACAGTCATTGAGACACCTTTATACATACAAACTAATCATTGATTTTTCTTTCTGGTTTTTTGTTTTTATTATTTGAGTTTTTGTTGTTTATTTATTTGTGTTTTTTTTCACATCAAAATTAAATAAAGTTGACATCATGCAATCAGTTGTTTGTTTTGTTTTATTATATTCATGTCTGTTAAAATGAGTGTGTGTGTATTTTTACAGATAAAATGCCTAAAAGCAGACTATTCTTTTTGTATATACAAGATTACACAAATATACATACATATGTTTAGATATTAAAAATAGATGTTTGTGAGGATGTAGGTATGTGTGTTCGGATGCGTATTTTAGACATGTTAGTAATATGAGACATGTTTTCAAACTTAAATAAATGATTCATTTGAAACACCTTTAACCCCACAAGACACATCATAAGTTACACATGTTAAAATAAAGTAAAAGGGTGGGCTCAAGGCATCGGTACAAAATCAAACCAAACTTTACTCATACTAAAATAAATACGGAGGCAATAGACAGGCACTATGGGTAAGAAAATA